GCAAACTAGACCACCATTTTACAGCTCCGCAATTTTTTGCAATCTATCGCAACCATGGATATGGATTGCATTTCTGCATTAGCTTTAATCCTTGTTTTCTCGGCTATTGCCTTGTTTGTTATTGTAATGTTTCTTTTTTGCCGTTGCAAATGTGATTTTTGTAAACTATATTCGTCATCCTCTGCCGCTTCGCCCGAGCAACAACCGCTGCATTCTTCTGCTGATTCCCATGCATCTCCTCTTCAATCACCGTGTTCTCCTGCTGCTGTTCCTGAGCCTCAACCATCTTGTTTTTTTGCTGTTGTTCCTGAACCCCAACCATCATGTTCTTCTGCCGCTTTACCCGAATCTCAACTGTCCTCGTGTTCTTTTGAAGAGTTTTCTGAATCTCGAGTTTAGTTTGTAAGACGTCCTTGTTTTATAAAGTTAATTAGTTTTAATATTGTTAGAAATAATACTATTGTTTATTTGTTTTGGTTTAAATTTAAAATAGAATTTTCCATGCTTGAATGACGCATGCGCTTTGGGATAAGGAAAGCCCTTTTTCCCTCTGCGCATACTGATCCTGATTCCAGCAGACCGGAGCAGCAGACCACGTGCGCTTGCAGGGTTCTGAACATTTTGTGGTATTTTTTTGTTTATAATGGATTGCTTTTTAGCATTACTTTTAATTCATGTTGCCGTTTTTGTTCTGTTAGCTATTATTTTGCTTATTATTGTCATACTTTTGTTTTGTCCCTGTAAGTATTTTCCTTGGAGACTGTCGCTGCATCCCTCTGCAGATTCAGAGCCTTAAAATTAGTTTATAAGGTGTTCTTGTTTTATAATGTTAATTGGTTTAAATATATCTGTTAAAACTGTTAGATAAAAATGTTTAAATATTGTTAAAAATATGTTTGATAGATAAATGTTCAGTTGTCTTGTTAGACTAAAAATGTTTATTGTTGTTAAAAATAGTGTTAAAAGATGCTTGTATATTTTTGTTAAGAATAGTGTTTAAAAAATTTTTATCAAAAAGAAAAAAAATCATTTGTTGTTGTATTGCGCACTTTTCTAGCCTTTCTCTCTCCTCATTCTGTACCGTTATCTTTCACACCACCATGAAAGCAGCGATGTAGAGCCACGGGGTGGTGTAAGGAACTTTTTGAACTTTTAGTATGTCTCAACATCGCTGTCTCCACGACGACCACTTCCTGACTCAGCATTAAGGAGAACGTCTTGAAGGAAACACACAGTCCCCGATGAAAACCACATCCGCCCTAGATGAGAACATCAGCAGTCCCAGCAGTCCCCCGTTGAGCTGCGCCTACGCGTGAGACGGGTGGAGGGGAAACCACAGCGAGACAGATCGGCCCCTCGCCAGCACGACCACCATGGACACCCAGGCATGTGTGCACGGAGGACAACGGGGTGGCACCTACAACAACGAGCCCCGTGAAAATGGGTGGACAAACTGTGTGGACGGGGACTATAAAAAAGACAGACTGCATACTCCTTGGGAGAGGGAAACCAACTAGAAGAGGGGAACCAACTCGGAGCCAGGAACGTGGAGCATCATCGGACCGACAGAACATTGCGAGATCCCTGGTCGTGCCCTGGTCGTGGTGGTGGTAATTAGTTGCGCCTCTACTGTGTTCTTGCTTAGGGATTCCAACCTTTTCTTTTCTTTTCCTCTCTGTCCTATTGCTCTAATTAGTTGTTATAGAAAATAAAGTTTATAAGGTTATGCAGCATCTGACCTCTTTTGTGTCTTAATCTCGCTCTCGGGATTGTTTAAGAACCCTCCCCGATATCGGATCGGGACAGGGGGTTTAGGGGTTTTGAACTTTTTTGCGTTTTGGGTTTTTTGGGGTTTTGTGGGTTTTTTTGGTTTGGGGGTTTGGGGGTTTAGGGGCTTGTTGGTGCTTTTTGGTGTTTTTTGATGATTTGGCTTTTTTCAGCCTTCGAGGGTTTACGAGTTTTTTGTGGGTTTTCAGGATTTTTTTGTATTTGGGGGTTTTTAGGGTTTCGGGGATTTTTTGCATTTGGGTTTTTTTGAGGTTTTTTGGTGGTTTTTTGTGTTTTGCAGGGTTTTTTGTATTGGGTGGTTTTGACTTTGGGGATTTTTTGGGCTTTGGGGATTTTAGGGTTTTTTGAGTTTCGAGTTTTGGCAGTTTAGGGTTTTTCTGGGTGTGGGAGATTTTGGGCAGGTTTTGGGTTTTGAGAGGGTTTGGGGTTCAGGTTTTTTTGTGCTTTTGGGGGTTTATTTTTGCCTGGGGTTTTTTATTATTTTTCAGAGTTTTTTGAATTTTATTATTTTTTCTACAATACTCCAAAACCTGCTGCTGCCTTCGCTTCTAAATTCACTATTTCTGCAAAATTCTATTTAATTAGAGTCAAAACCATCCAAAATCCCCCAAATTGGCAAAAAATTGGGGAAAACCACCAAAATGCTCCTGAAACTAGGAATCTCATTAACGAAAAACCCGCTTTTTCAATTGTAATTTTTGGGGTTGTTTAGGAAAAAAAAACAAAAAAACAAACAAAAAAAAAAAAAAAAAAAC